AATAAAGACATGGTTTAGGTTTTTAGTATTTCGCGCAAAGCTACACTTAGCCTTACCTAATTTAGCATTGAAAAACTAGAGAGAAGTCAGCTAGTCATCACAACCTACCGCCAACTCTTGGGATACTCTTTTACCAACGAATAGTGGGATTGACCGTAACATTATAACGCCCCACAGATTGCGAGTCGAGCGCCCCTAACAACTTGGCCATGCCGGACCAATAAAGACAAGAAACGAAGAAATTTCAAATGTAGTACCTATGTGTCAATGATAAATAGTTCAAATACGTTTAAAATTTTGTACAAAATTATTCGTTTGTTTGTTTTGAATTTCGCTCAAAGCTACACAAGGGCTATCTGCGCTAGACGTCCCTAATTTAGCAGTGAAAGACTAGAGGGAAGGCAACTAGTCATTACCACCCACCGCTAACTCTTGAGCTACTCTTATACCAACGAATAGTGGGATTGACCGTAACATTATAACGCCCCACTGCTGAAAAGGCGAGCATGTTTGGTGTGACAGGTATTCGAACCCGCAACTCTAAGAATGCGAGTCGAGCACCCTAATGACTTGGCCATGTCGGACCAACGACATTATTGATATGCTGGAGATTTGCGAGCGTTGGTACTATAAAAGGTCAATTATAGATTATAGAAACGTAAGCAAACTAACTATCGTTTCCTTTCCAGATGGTTGTAGAACTACGGTACCGTAGACTTCTGGTTGTAGAACTACGGTACGGTAGACACCTGGTTATAGAACTATGGCACGTTAGACACCTAGTTGTGGAACTACAGTACCATAGACACCTGATTGTAGAACTACGGCACGGTAGACACCTAGTTGTGGAACTACAGTACCATAGACAACTGGTTGTAGAACTACTGGGCGGTAAAGCACCTGGTTGTAGAAGTACGGTACGGTAGACACCTGGTTGTAGAACTACGGCACGGTAGACACCTGGTTGTAGAACTACGGTACCGTAGACACCTGGTTGTAGAACTACGGCACGGTAGACACCTGGTTGTAGAACTACGGTACGGTAGACACCTGGTTGTAGAACTACGGTACCATAGACACCTGGTTGTGGAACTACGGTACCGTAGACACCTGGTTGTAGAACTACGGTGCCGTAGACACCTGGTTGTAGAACTACGGTACCGTAGACACCCGGTTGTGGAACTACGATACCGTAGACACGCAATATCCGACCTGGTTAATACTTGGAAGGGTGACCATCTGGGAATACCAGGTGATGATGACACTATTACGTAGCCCTCAGTGGCACAGAGGTATGTCTGCGGACTTACAACTCTAGAAACCGGGTTTCGATATTCGTGGTGAGAAGAGCACAGATAGTCCATTGTGTAGTTTTGTGCTTAACTTCAAGTAAACAAACAGAACTACGGCATCCATCCCTCATATATAAAAGTAAAACGCATTGAACAGTCTCGTAAGATGCCTTCAAAGCTTCATTAGTGACTGAAAGAACGTAACCTCTCTTTCCACAGTAAAATATTTATCCATCGAGATTGTTACACGACGTCGATACAAAAGACACAACATTTCGATGACTGGTGCTTTCAGTGGTCTCCATGGAAACAGGAAGATATATACAGCAGTGTTTACGATAGCAACATGCATCAAAACACCATCCAAAGCCAATCAAAATCTCGTCCACAAAGTGAAGGGTATGATTATGAAAGAGAACCATCCGACCCCAAAAACTATTGTGATAGAGCTGGATATTTCTCCTGATACAGGTAATAAAGATTTGATGTTGTCTGTGACTCATAAGCTAAAAATTCACTAGTCACTTTTGATAAGAAAGAAGACAGAAAAATAAACAAGCTGGAATCAAAGCAATTCTGTTCAACCTGTCAAGTTCTTCAGTGCAGGTCCAATGAAATTATGTGTCTTCGGCCAGCTTATGTGTACTTTTGGAGGATATTAATTGATTTATGGAAAACTGCACAAGAAGAGGAGGACAACATTAACATTACCGTTTTCCGTAGAAATAGCGTTTTGGGACTATTAATTGCTAGGAATCAGGGATCGCAGATAAATCATTGCCAGGGAAAGTACGGCATGTCTAATATAATCAACATTTACAAAAGTGGAAATGACCTTTCGTACTAGGCTTTTGATTCTGTTAAAAACTGTTATGTCGCACGTTATAAATAAGTTCAGTGTTTCGTTTTGATTCTGGTAAAAACTGTTATGTTGCACGTTATAAATAAGTTCAGTGTTTCGTTTTGATTCTGGTAAAAACTGTTATGTTGCACGTTATAAATAAGTTCAATGTTTCATTTTGATTCTGTTAAAAACTGCTATGTCGCACGTTATAAATAAGTTCAATATTGGTAACTTTAAACATTTTACAGAATTACATATTACTTTTAAGATGGCTCTCATTCGTCCGTTTAGCTTCATTGTTGATGGGAATGCTTTTGGACTTGATCCAAGTAAAATATATATTTGATTTAGAATATAAAATTATGCTGCATCAATCATAGCGTTTAAATATACAAACATGAAAAAAAATCCACTTAACCATTGATGTATTCTCGATCGCCTTCTTTATTAAGAACAACAGCAGAGAACTTCCGAGCATTTTTATCGTAAAATTGATGAAGTACAAAATGTCAACATGTTGTGTTAGGCTTAACTCTGACTACATAGGTTATCTTTTTATGTTATTGCTAGAAACTTCCTATCTATTAAAAAACTATTAAGCAAAATCAGAACAAATATTAATTTATGTAACATATCTCCTCGTTGCAGTTAAAAAGTCTGTTGTCACTGATGACATACACCAAACATTTCAGCTATTGCACTAAATTACTGTTCATCATGAGAGCTAATATTGCTAAAAACTGCAGTACACAGATCGTCGTAATACAAGGTTTGTTCATGACATGAGCCGTTATATTTGTTGGTTATTTTGGTGAAACCCTAAATTGAAACTGACAATTGAATCATTTGGAAAGCATGATATTCTGTATTTGTGTTAACATAGAACGAGGTGGGTGTACACAGACTAGTGTCGTAGAAATAGTATGTGATTTACGTATCCTGTTTGTGCCCAACCAAGTGTGGTACTCTAAAAGCGAAGAGTGCAAAACCATAGACGTGAAGAAACAATCTTGGTAGCAAATGTTCCATTAAAAGGTAATAAGATAAAGGAACAATAATTTATCATGCACAGAGATAAATTTTAAAGAGACTATTATATACATAAGCTTAGCAATTTAGTAAGCTGTTATTTCAAGCGCAAAGCTGCACTGTAGGCTATCTTTGTTCTGTCCATCACAGAGAATTGAACCCCAGAATTTAGCGTTGTAAGTCCGTAAGCTGCCGGGGGACATTTAAGAAGTAAGAGCTGAATTTTTGCAGTTATACTTTACTTGCTTAATATTTTATTATTTGATTTTTGAAATAAACTTTGTAATTATTATTATTATTATTTTCTGAAGCTTGAACAGTGTTAAATATGTAAGACATTGAAACTTTGGAGCTATAGCCACTTTCTGGTCACGTGGTCTGCCATGGCCTGGTGCCTAGGGCGCTCGACTCACAATCTGCGGATCACGGGTTCGAATCCTATCATCGAACATGTTTGCCCCTTCAGCTGTGAGGACGTTATAAGATTACGATCAGTCTCACGATTCGATTAGAGTAGCCCAAGAATTAACGGTGGATGGCATTTACTAGCTGCCTTACCTCTAATCTGTCACTGCTAAGTATGGACGGATAGCGCAGATAGTCCTCGAGTAGCTTTGCGTGAAATTCAACAACTAAACAAACATGGTCACGTGCACGAACAACGCATCTACATTCATACACCATGTGAAATATGTGTCCACGCAGAAGTTTTATTTTTTTGATGATGGCAAACCTGAACGTTCAAATTCTGGGCTAACACTAAACAAAGCCAACACGGGTGCTTGTAAGTTCGCACTCAAACCTGGGTATAATCAATGAATCAATCAGAAATAAAGTTTAATAGTGCCATCTATGGCCTCAAACAAAGCCTAATCATTTCTATGATATGCTAGATGTATGTTTAATACTTAAAACCAGTATTATTTGATTGTGTGTGTGGAAAGGAAGAATTAACCAGAATCAAACCTGATTATTTTTCACTCTTACGGCAACAAGGGTTAGTAAACTGGATCAATTTTTGGTTGAAAGCTGAATTTCTTTGGCATTAGAAAAGTAAACACTTCGTGTGCGATGATTTTGTTAGCTGGTCCCCTAGGTTCGTTAAAGGGCCTCAACTGACATCTGGTGTTGAAGCACAGTTTATAAGTCAATCCGAACTTGTTTATTATGATAATGTCGTTTATTTGTGTAAATATCGTATATAACCGCTATAAAGAATTTACAATATTTCTCAGAAGGATAACCAATTAAAAACACAGACAGGAGAAGTAAAAGTTGCATCGCAGAAGAATGTAGCGTTGTTAATGAAACTTTAGTATACCATACAGGAAGGCATGTTAAATATCTGTACAGAATCTCAGGAAAGTGGGGAATATCATACCCCAGTCACGATTGTATGAAGTAAAACAAAGAAAAGATAACAACAGTATTTACAGTTTTAGACATTAAACTGTATCTTGGAGCATACAGTGTGGTTACACAGAACTCATAAAACATGATGTTCTGTTGAATTCAAATTATAATAAGGTTTGTAGAAATTCACACGCGCTAACAACACAACCCCAAAAATATACACTGAACTCTTATAGACAAAACCTAACAACCTGCGTAAAATTAACAATACAAAAATACCTTCTGGGTTATTACATTTTAAAGCGCTATAAGAACAAAAAACACGCCTGTAACTTGTTTCTATGGTTACATTATCGGCATAAGGTAATTTTCCTCAACTATTCTGTATGTTCTTTATTTCATTACGTTTTTACGTTTTCTCACTATGGTGCTGGAGCCATGTCTTTTCTCTCGACTCAATGAAAGTTTGACAATGTCTACCATTTCTCTTTGAAGAAAACATTACTGTCAAATAAATAACAACCATGGAACAACGCTGAATAAAGGTGTCACTTAGTTCATATAAAACACAGGTCACGAAACACAAAATGAATTCCAGCTCTGATTAATACACATGAAAGATTCATTAAAGTTAGGCTTTCAACCGAATCCCTCTGAAGTCTAAAGGATCTGTGTAATTATATGCAAGGTAAACTGGTATTGGCTGTAACGGCTCCTCATTTCAACAACTGCCGTAGGGGAATATCCGTCCTACTTGTCGGCCATGCCCTTTAGTAAAGAGATTTGCGATCACAGAAAAAAAATCACACACATACACAGTATTACCTATATGAACTCAGAGACATCAGTTTTCACAACTCGCTGAAGTTAATTTGAAAAGTTCTATATGTAATATTCGCTATTATTAAGTCTCAACTTGAACTTTGTTATAAGCTAGAAAGCAAATTCACATTTTGTGTAGATTTTGACTGAAATGTATGAAAAAAAAAAGAGGTAAAAATTGCGCATATAAGTTCGCCAAGTTTGATATTTAAAGCGTTGTGCTGTTAGTAGAAGTGGAAAGAGGCTGTCGGAAAGATAGCCACACTTAAAACATTATCATATATAAGTTGGTGTCCACAGCGGATGCGTCTATCTGAATGTCTTATTTTTAGCTTATATCATAAGTAATATTAGACTTAGCTTTATACACAACTTATGGGTTAGAAATAAGGACTACGTCCCGAATAGAAACATTAACAAGGGCAATTACAATAATTGTTTTTTATTACGACAATGGTATGTAACAGCACCCTCAAAATATAATAAATGAAACCAATTAAGAAAATTTGCTGGTATAATATCGACTATTAGGAAGTTTAAGTATAGAGAAAGTCTATATGAGGAAGTAAAAGATAAG